AAATAGCTGATCTGCATTATAAAAGCAGATGGATTTCTAGTAAAACTATTCAAACTAGTGTACATGTTGTTCGAAATAGAGCAATCCCAAAGAAGTAAATGAGTTATTTAAAAACAAATAACTTATTTAAGAACAAATATAAGTGATAAATTCCGATGAGTTTAAGAGTCAACTCAAAGATTACGTTACGTAACTAATGATAATACTCACAATGTACTTAGTTCAACATAATCAACATTTCTTGTAAATATTTTATCAATTTTCAAAAGCTGGTCTGGTTTTTAGTGTATTGTAGAAAATTTTCCCACTTATAGCCGCAATAGGTTGTCCATGTTGGTCTTTGACAATGATAATGTAGTCTGCATGGTATCACCCATTGTCGGCAGTATGTTTACAAATTTCAGTCTTTATTTTAATAGCACCAAATAACCATTAACTACCTGAGTTTCTGCATAACCTCTCTGTCACAATTTTACAATTAACATATTAGTCCAGGCAAATTAGATCAAATATAGGGTGTGCTCCCCAAAAAATCGTCTAAAGCTGGAAAGTGATTTAATACCTTTTGGGGGTCCCAAATAAGACTCCTGTGAGTTTGCGACGGATTCTGACGTCTGCTTAGGTTTTGGGAGTCGAAAAACAATGAAAATTTTGCACTTTTTTCGGTTTTTCGGTTATAACTTCTAAATAACGAATCCTAAATGACGTCAGAATCCGTCGCAAACTCACAGGAGTCTTAATTGGGACCCCTAAGAGGTATTAAAACACTTACCAGCTTTAGACGATTTTTTGGGGAGCATATGTCTAATTTGCCTGGGCTATATGTTCTTCTTCTCACTTTTAATTTCTGACAACAGCTGGAGTTTCATAACAATGTTTGTTTCCCATGTTAATCTTATGGAGAAATACAAAACATAAAAGGGCCCCAGGGCCTCACTCTCTAATTATTTCCTCTAAAAGAAAGTTTCCTGCTTAACTTCACGTTACACTCTTTCCAATGACACCAAAAACATGTCAATCAGTTCAGTAGTTTTGGAGGAGTAATTGTCACAAAACATCTGCTTGCGTATTAAATAAGTATATAGATAACTATTTGTATCCACTGTAATAGGGGTTTTATTGTGTTATTTATTAATTAACTAAATTATTTATTTTTGTTTTTCAAAGGGGTTCAGTATCCTAAAAAAAATACTTTAATGACCTAAAGTGGGTTCCAGTGATTTTTTTGAATTTTGAAGAAATCCCTAAAATAGGCAGATTAAAAAACAATACTCCCACAGCAGCAAACCTGCAGACTAAGTGAATTTCAACTTGTCTGATTACATTTTTACTAAAATATTTCCATAAATAAGACATTTATTCCCAATTGCTGCTACGGGGAAGGTGAAACGTGTTTTTTGACCATAGGTCAATAGTATAGGATGAAATAAATAAATTTGCCAAATTTTATCAACATATATCCATAAACAAGTAAACTACAACAAATTTCATTTTCTCCGTAAGAAGTTTGAATAAATGTAGGTTTACACGTTTATACCAAATTTCATCAAAATCTGATAATTTTTGCTCAAGTTATCACGCTAATGGACATATATATTTATAAATAATATATATATACAGGGTGTTTCAGAATTCGTGTAGGATATTTTAGGGTATTGTTCCTGGGTAAGAAACAAATCCAAATATCATAATTTAAATTGACCGGAAGTCCTTAATTACTCACACAGCCACCATTTTGTTTTTTTTCGCTTATTAATTGTTTTCTAAAAATTGATAAGAGATACGAAATTGAAAGTTTGCAAAAACATTTATGACAACTAGACAAAGCTACAAAAAAATTATGAACATTTTAAAAATTCATAATACAAAATGGCGGCACAATTTCGTATCTCTTACCATTTTTTAGAAAACAATTAATAAGCGAAAAAAACAAAATGGCGGCTGTGTGAGTAACTAAGGACTTCGCTCAATTTAAATATGATATTTGGATTTGTTTCTTTCCCAGGAACAATACCCTAAAATATCCGACACAAATTTTGAAACACCCTGTATATGAATTTGAACGGTGGAGTTTTTGGCCTCTGGAGACCTGAAAACTAAAAATAAATTCGTCCCGGGTCTAGGTCTTACCATGAGACCTACGGTAATAGCTTATTCCCTATATGGGAAATTCGATTTTTGACACAACAATTACTCTTGGGCTATAACTAACTATTATAACGATATTATAATTTAATTCTGTAAGTGATTTTTTAAAATTAAAATTGTGATAGTTTTACAGCTTGAAGGATGATGGGAGAGGGCTCAAATTAAAGTTCTTAGTCCCAGGGGGTCGGGAAAAATAGCAGATTATGTCTAAATAAAGCCTACTAGAAAATGAGAAAAAACAAAATATGATTATTCCACCTATTTGGTTAACCAACATTTTATATAATCAAACTTCAACTTTAGTAGGCTTTGTTCGATTTTGTTTTCAAGCAGTAACAATGTGATATATCTACCAATAACAGTTTTCTTAGAATTGATTTTGTAAAATGTAAAAACATCCTAAACATACATACTTCGTCAACAAATTTTATTTAGTTGACCAACTTCTGATGCTCTGTAAAATAGGCTACTTAAACAAGATAATGGGCCATTGTTATCTTATGATAGTGAGTGTTATCTTTAAAGACTATTTGCAATGCTTTGTCTCGACAAGATACCAGTTGAGATACTGTATGCTAAATATTCCAAAAAAGCCTAATAAGTTGTTATATAATTACTTTATCAACTAATCTTACTGAATTCCTTAACTATCTTCTGAAAATAAGATTGAGAAAATACACAGCTAATTCCAACAGTAAAAATATTCTACTGTGAATCTAAACTATAGTTGGTGTCAGGGCTAATGCAAGGACCGTGTGAAACATGCGGCCGCATGGGGCGACAACAAGAAGAGGGCGCCGACGCGCCAGGCAAAAACCGGGCTGTAATGAAACAGCTGGGCTTAAGTCAGTATAATACCATTGACTATTGGATACTGAAGATATTGTATTGATAGTCAAGGATAACACTAAATAAGACATGGTCCCATTCAATAATTATGTACAATTCACACTTTTCCACGGTCAACAAAATTAAAGTTTTCTTGGAAGGCTGAACATAGGCTACTGGTGTTAAATTAGTTGCATTTGCTGGGATCTAGGCCTTAAAATTTTGTTTAAAACAAACTATTTTTCCTTTTAACCGTTATTACGCCATCTCTTAACAGTACCATTATTAATTTTAAATAGAGAACATAATATGTAAACTGATTCCTATAATATTTTAAAACCAAACAAATTCCACACTCATTCTTTGCTCATACAGGAGCCTACATTTAGGTCAAAATTTGGCAAATTTGCCCAGTTGCGTTCCCATCTAAGTAATAAAACAGCTGGGTGAATTATGCAATTGAAACGACTGGGCATTCTGAACATTAAATTAAAAATGTAAACAAACTAATTTACAACTTATTTAAGTTTTATGGTTTGAATATACAATTTTAAGCCAATTTGCAAATTTACAGATAAGTTTTGATATTACAATATGTGAGGATGAGTCTTAAAACAAACAAAACCATTTACCAGAAAGAATTTTTCTCATGTGGCTTGGTAAATATATGGATCTATAAAGAAAATACTTAGCCAACATTTACTTTTACTTTTGTAATCTTTTATCAATTTTATATAATTTTTTTAACTCTATCTACTTTGCATACAAAATGTATATAGAACATTTGACAATTTATTAACCTTTTACTTAAATGGTGTGTGTTATATATGGGGGTGGGGAGGCTGTATAATGAAGGGACACCAAGAATGACTTTTGCATGTTTGGGAAATACACTTTGCACTGGGCCTGGCTGGTGTGAACCTTATATAAGCTCAGCCTTATATAAGCTCAACTGTAGGAGGTTGTAATACACCAAACAGTACAAAGACCAAACCAAGCAATATCCCGGTAAACACATCCCGTGAAATACAATTCAACCTCACGAAACACAGAATACCTGTCCGGCACTGGCATAATCAATGAAAAACTAAATATCTAAAAGTTGAGTGAATTGAGTTTCCAGTTTTGATCCAAGACAATTCTGTATGCAGTGCACCAAGAGGGTTTGTGGCCATGGGGGCTTAAATGGAGGTGCCATGAACCCCTTTTCAAAAACTCACTATCCCTTTAGCATTATGGAAGTGCCCCTGAACACCATTTAAAATACATACATTTAGGGTCATTCCCATTATTGCTGAGAGTATAAGTATTCATTGTAAGGTTTTAGGCAGAACAATGTCCTAAAAAAATTTTAGTGGTAATGGTAATTTAAGTACAACAGTTAAGTGTCAACCACGACTCTTAAATCCATTGAATCTCAGAAAAAGATTTTATTTTTAATTCCAGATTTGATGAGCTCAACTCAAAAATTGAATCTGGGATCTCATTTAATTACATCCGCTGTTTGCCAGGACTACCACAACCCAGGTGTTAATACAAGGCAGAAAAAATAATTGAAACTGATTAAAGTTGTTCAAGTTCCAAACATTATTTTGACATTTACGGGACAGTTTGATAATATCTTGAGTCCCGGGTAGCATATTATCACTTCTTGGAACTTTGATGCAAGTTCTATTAGGGTTAGAAAACAATAGACTTGTGATTCAGAGATGAAGTTGATAGAGGTTTTAACATTTAACTAACAGTCTATAGTTAGAACAAGATATTCCATTCCATTGGTAAAATTGAGGCCGATTCTAGAATAAAAATAAACCTTGTAAGCTACTGACAGAGTGCACTTCTGTAAATCCAGAGGGAAATTAGAGTTTTAGACTGTAGCATATTCTCTAAGTGGCTCATTCAACTGGCTTTTAATTTTTTTTGAAAATTTGGTTAGGCCTACAGTTACAAGATATACCCTGAATGGACAGTATAAACTAATAGGCCCTATCTAAAAGTCAAAGCTAAGTTTACTAGGTACTCACATTGTTGATGGATATGGCAAGCACTACCATCCAGCCCCAGCCCCCGTCCGGGGCCACCTTCTTGACCTGCCCCGCCATCGCACCACCCTGCATAACAACAAAGAGCCATCAACCAGCCATAATATCAAACTTGTATGTTTGCATTGTTTGCTGTATGGATTTGTAGTGTTTATTTTTTATTTTTAACTTGTATGAATTAGCTTAAGCAATAATTGAATGGCATTACAAATCTGTGTCCAACAAAAACTGGAAACAAATCTTTAGAGATGTACAAAACAGCTGATAAGTCAACAAGACTTACCAATAGAAAAATGACAAGGTCCGAGTAACTAACTGATGTCAGCATTTCCAGTGTTAACTTATAACTTCTCACCGCATCATGAATCGATCAGATTATTTACATAACACAACACACCAATAATGGTGTTTCTTATCTTTGAACATGACTTTTGCTAATTATATACTAATTATAGACCTAGCTGATGTAAATTGAGGTTAATTAATAGCTTGTGGATTAAACGGTGATATCATCCAAAACAGAATAAAAACAAACTCCAACAAAAAAGACAGCATTGTTTATGGAAAGGTTAACTTGAGATTGATTTCAGCAAATATCAAATCATGATTCCCAACAACTACTGTAGGTATTTACAGTAATCACATAAGTTACAAGTTAAAAGTCACAATAGAAACAATTTTTGCTTGGCCGGGATAAACAAAAAACTGATTGTTCACATTTTACTTTGGATCTAAGTAGGCCTATTAAGTTTTCATTGTATCTGTTATATATTTAAAACTCTCTCATTTAGTTTTAATATTTACCTAACCCGCCATGTTAAACTTCCCTATCCCAAGTGTGATGTATACAACTTCCTTACTTCTTGAGTGATGTAAAGTATCAAAAACTCACTCGGTGATGTAAAGAAACCCATTTAAATAACATTGAGTGCTTGACTTAAAAAATATACCTCTATGGAGCCAACAACGTTCAAGGCTAGAAATCAGCTGTGCGCTTGAATGTTATTATTATGCTTTAAAGTATTTTCCTAACCTAGCTTTTGTTTGTAAAAGAACGTTACTGTTAGAAGATACGTGAAATGGATAATGAAAAATATTGTACGTAATCCCATGTATATTGTCGGGTCAGGTAAAATCTTGTACGTTACACGTTACGCAAGAGCGTGTTTACATCACTTAGGTGAATTATGCAACTCGCTTGAACCGCTCGTTGCACAACATTCGCCTGCGTGATGTAAAAACGCTCGTACTACACTTGTAATGTAAATAGCTATTATCATATGACTGATTTAATTTCATATTGTAAATAATTCAATGTTTACTTTTCATTATTAAGAAATAAATATGATTCAATAGTTGTGTTCATATATTTTGTACAAATTTATACTTAATAATTTGGCGACGAGGAAGAAAATGACTGAAATACAAGACATTATATCTACCTTAAACAATTTTATGACATTAATGGCACAACAAACAAGTCAACAAACAGAACAGCCTAGATCAAGACAAAGTACCAAGGAACTACTACAAAGCAATGCATTAAAGTTTGATGTTTATGATGAAGATAAGGAAACGTTTGAAAGCTACACTCAGTGTTTAGAAATATTTTTTAAAATAAAAGGATTGACAGACAATGATTCAGAGACTGAACACTTGAAAGGTTTATTTTTAATCAATTGCTTAGGTGCTAAGCATTACAATCTGATCTGCAGTCTAACATCTCCAGACAAACCAGACTCAAAAACATACCAAGAGTTACTGATATTACTAAATGAGCACCTAAGCCCAAAGAAGACATACAGCATAAATTCTTATCACGTTTACAAGATAGGAATGAATCAATTACAAATTATGTTACAGTCCTCAAACAACTGGCTTGTTCAGCAGATTTCAAATCTGGATGTAAAGAGGGAAAATGCACAAAATCAGTTATAAACCTCATGCTCAGGGCTCAATTAATCAGAGGCTTATATGACTTAAATATCAGAGAAAGACTCTTACAACTGGGTGAAATATCGTTTGAAAAAGCCTTAGAAATCGCCTTGGCTATAGAGGCTTCAAAACTTGACAACCATAATTTATATACAGCCAGTAATAATCAGAATGACATTTACAAAATCAGTAAAACAACCAAGAACAAAATCGGGCCTAGAAACAAACATTTCTCAACCAATGGTAAAGTCTCATATATGACTCAAGCAAAAAGAAAGACAACAAAAACAAAAGGCTACAAAAACTAGGACTTTCAGATGTATGTTTACACTGTGGAAGGAATAACCACGAAACACAAAACTGTCGATTAATAGATGAACTAAATTGCAGATATTGTCATAAGGATGGACACATAGAAAAGGTGTGTATAACAAAACGAATTCAGGAAATACAGTCTTCAGACAAAAATGTAAAAAAGAGTTGATGAAATTGATTCTGAATATGAATATGACGTTCAACGGATTATAAATGTATTGAATAATGATGAAGGAGATGACAGAATGATGGTAAACGTATCTCTAAATGGTAAACAACAACGTTTTAAGTCTGATTCCGGAAGTCGTGTTAGCATAATGAACAATGATGACTTCAAGAAACTAGACTTACATGTTCCAGTTTGCAAAACAAGTGCTCTTTTTCGATCTTATACTGGACAAATATTCAAACCAATTGGGGTTTGTACCCTAAGCATAAGATATGAAGGGAAATCTTGCAGAGAAGATCTATACATTGTATATCTACCTAAAAATCCTATTCTTGGAAGGGATTGGATCCGAAAATTAAAAATTAACTTACACAACATTAATCTTGTTAGTATGAAGAAACCAGAGGTTGATACAAACACTGTTATCAAATCCATCAAGCAAAGATTCTCAAGCCTTTTTTGAACAATGTATTGGTAAAACCCCCAACTTCACATGCTCTTTAAAACTAAAGGATAATTCAAAACCTGTGTACTTGAAAGCCAGACCGGTACCTCACGCCCTTCGAGAAGCTGTTGAGAACGAACTATTTAAACTGGAAAAGGAAGACATAATAGAGAAAGTGGATCAATCTGAGTGGGGTACACCGATTGTTGTGATTCCAAAAGCAAATGGATCGGTCCGTATTTGCGCGGATTACAAGGTAACTGTAAACCAACAACTACATGACAGTCGTTATCCAATACCAAGAATAGAGGATATCCTTAACAAAATGAGGAATGGAAACTATTTTTGCACGTTAGACATTTACAAGGCTTATTTACATCTTACAGTGGACGCTGAAAGCTCTAAAATCCAGAAAATTACCACACATAAGGGTACATATCGAGCCAAAAGACTGTTTTTTGGAATCAAGACAGTTCCAAATGAATTTCATAAATTTATTGACCAAGTAGTACAAAACCTTGAAGGGACAGTTGCTTATTTTGATGATATTGTTGTACAAGGCAGTATTTTTGAAGAATGCAAATCTAGGCTCATAAAGATGTTAGAAAAATTAGAACAACACAATCTACATGAGAATGTTGAAAAATGCAAGTTTTTTTAGAGAAAGGTGCAGTATCTGGGTCATATCATCAGCAAAGATGGTAGCCTATTCAGAAATCACCAGAAAAGGTGAAGGCAATCCAGGATGCTCCCCGCCCGTCAAATATCACAAGAGTGCGTCAGTTCCTTGGACTAGTACAGTACTATTCGAAGTTCATCAAAGATGCATCTTTACTGCTTAACCCTTTACATCAGCTTCTAAGGAAAGACAAACGTTTTCTTTGGTCCCAGGAATGTGAAAAAGCATTTACTTGTGTAAAAGAACAAATAGCAAGTGACACAGTTCTTACTCCATACAACCCAGACTTGCCCGTGGTCCTCGCCACAGATGCTAGTCCTGTTGGCTTATCAGCTGTACTGTCTCATAAAAAGCCAAATAATGAAGAGAGGCCTATTGTGTTTGCCAGTAGATCCCTCACTGCTGCAGAGCGCAATTATAGCCAACTAGACAGAGAAACAACTCCTGTATATTGGGGTTGTAAAAAAATTTTTGATTATATGTACGGAAGAAAGTTTACTCTAGTCATTGACAACAAACCACTGATGAAGCTGTTGACCATATTCCATCCAGACAAGAAACTACCACTGTTGAAATCATCCAGGATGCTTAGATACGCTCATTTTCTTTCAGGATTTGATTATGAGATTGTACACAAAAAGTCAAGCGACCACTGTAATACAGATTACCTCTCAAGACATCCCTTACCTATAAAAAAAGAGATTATCAATGTTGTTGATGAAGATTACACTGTTCGAAGAGACACAATACACTGCTTAAAAACCGATACTATCATGGCTAAAGACGTAGAAAAAGAAACATCACTTGATGAAGAACTCTCTCGTTTAAAGGAAAAACTCCTAAATGGAGAAGTGGCTGATCCAGAAATATCACTTCAAGATGGAATTATTTTTAGAGGAAATCGTGTTATTATTCAAAAAAATCTACAACCGAAAATCCTTCAAGAACTACATTCAACTCATGTAGGAATAGGGCGGATGAAGGGTATGTAATCAAACGGCACTTCAATCAACTTCGAGCTTGTGAAGTGCCAAAAGATTCTGCTTCTTACAAAAGCCCCCTACTTAGCTCATTACCCCAAACAAGGCAAGGAAGTACAAACAGACGATGTGACCAAATAGCCAAAGTACCTCCTAAGCAAACACATCGAACTTTCATATTCCAAAACACCAATCAAAGTTGCACAAGACAACCACCATTCGTGGGAAAATCAAGATACGGCATGTTAAGTAAATTGATAGGCAATTCAGAAAGTTCACATGATACTGAAAATTTTGTAAGTAGCACTTCAAGCGGGGAAGGTACTGCAGTCTCTGGAACATCGAGTCCTACAGTGAACTTTATGCTTAATACTGAGACAAAAGTCCTATACATAGCAAGGAAGTATCAAGTACAAGCAGCCAGCAAGAGGCACAGGAGCCGAATACAAGCAGCCAGCAAGAGGCACAGGAGCCGAATACAAGCAGTCAACAAGAGGCCCAGGAGCCGAGTACCAGCAGACAACAAATGCTGCATACTCACAACCAGCTGCCCCAAGATTCGCCGATCAACGAGAATCAGGAAACCCATCAAAAGGATGGATTTGTAAATGAGTTTTCTCTCAAATAAGTGGGGAGGAATTGTTATATTTAAAACTCTCTCATTTAATTTTAATATTTATCATATGACTGATTTAATTTCATATTGTAAATAATTCAATGTTTACTTTAAGAAATAAACATGATTCAATAGTTGTGTTCATATATTTTGTACGAATTTATACTTAATAGTATCCTTACTTTTTATGGCATATACTTTCATTCAGATTAATATTAACAAAAAAAAAAAAAAAAAAAAAACTGGTTGGTTGGTTTTTTGTTTGGTGTATTATTAGCCGTTCATAATAGTAGGCCTAAGCATAGGTTGATATGCACATCAAATTAAAGGTCTTTTTAGTAGATTATAATGCCGCAAATTAAAGCTCAAAAGAACAACTGAGTAAAAATTAGCAGCCGTTCAAAGATTTGAAATGGCAGATTTAAGATATCTTTGAACGGCTACCATTTTTGACTTGGTTGTCCATTTTTTTGTTCAAATTTGCAGCATTGTATTCTGCTAATAAAGCCCTTTGATTATCACTACAACACCTGAATCTACAACAGAAAACTGACAGTTTCTTCAAAAAGTATACTTTTAGGTGCCGTTTTGATTTACCAAATCTCATTGATTTATCTGTTATCGTTTAGAAAACCTTAAGCCTGTGCGGGACTTTATATACGCCTTAATAGGTGTGAAACGTGAAAAACTTCAGTGACAGTGACACGGCCATTGCAAGTAGCCTATTAGTAAATCGCTGTCTTAAAAGGATTTTGAACATTTGGTGGCCGGAGGTGATTTCAAACAAAGAAATGCTTGAGCGAACAGACCAGCTTTCTATAAATGAGGAAATAAAGAAAAAGAAGTGGCGATGGATTGGCCACACACTGAGGAAACCCCCCAGTGCCCTTTATGCCCTGCAAAAAGAAGCACTTGATTGGACCACACAAGGTGAAAGAAGAAGGGGAGGGCCAAGAGAAAATTGGAAGCAAAGTGTTGAAAGAGAGGCCAGACGTGCAGGAACAAGTTGGGAAGAGGTGAAGAGAGTCGCTGTTGTCAGGGACCAGTGGAGAATACTAGTTGAAGCCCTATGCTCCAGTGGGAATTAATGAAATTAAGTCGTCAAGTAAGTATTAACCCTTTGAGGTCAAATTTTTCCCCCATTTTTTGCCGAGTATAGTTTGCCATTAGAGCAGTCAGGAAAATGGTGCCCGGAGACCTATAGGCCTAATCACCGTTCAGCTGCAAAAATAAACTGTTTTGATTTTTGATTTTTTTTTGTTTTTTTTTTTTGTATAAGTCCATAATAGCTAATTTTATTTTGTTGACCCGGGTCAATCACCAAAAAAAAGGTACTTAAAATGAAGGTAATATACATAAAACAGCATATTTGCAGATTTGCAGACTGGCGCCTACTAGCACGCTGGAGGGGGTGTCAGTCAGCTGGAGCGTCCATGCACACTCTGCTTGTGCACACCACGATATCAGTTTAAACCACAGAAAACGTACTACTATAACCCAGAATGCCAACCGCATGGTAAAAAGCATTAAGCGTTTTGAGAGAGCTTTGCCTACGGATTGACAGGCAAAGCTCTCTCAAAACGCTTAATGCTTTTTACCATGCGGTTGGCATTCTGGGTTATAGTAGTACGTTTTCTGTGGTTTAAACACACGGATAGAACGTACAAATGACATGATATATTTCAATTTGAAAATTAAACAAATTGTACATTTTTACTGAAAAACTAAATAATTTTCTTAAAAAATTAGTTTGTTATAACATTATAAATCAATAAAATATAAATAAATAGTTGCATAAAAAATAGGTAAATATTTACAACATGTCTTAACGTTTAGAATACATGTTGATATACCTTCGTTCCAAGTTTTATGTATATACCTTAATTTTAAGTAGGCCTACCTTTTTTTGGTGATTGACCCAAAAGGATGTTAATGTGAGAATTTTGTTTTTTATAAAAAATTGTTTGCAATGTTCTTGATAGTGGGTATTATTTAGGGTTCTTATTGCTTCTTTTTGTAATATAAAAATTGATTGAAAGAGGTCTGTACTTGCTGCGCCCCAGGCAACAATTCCAAAACGGAGGTGTGATTCTATGAGAGCATGGTAGGCAATATTAGCTGTAGTAAAGTTGGTTAGGTTAGTTATCCTTCTCATAGCATAGATTGATGTATAGATAGTTTTTGTTGCAGTGAATTAATATGGTGTTCCCATTTTAAGTTTTCGTCTATTTCTATTCCCAGAAATTTGGTATGGTCTGATCTGTTTGGGTTTGAGTTACCTAAGGGGGCTTTGTTTGGGTTTGATTTGCAGGAAAATTCGATTGTAACAGTTTTGGCGTTATATTGATTCTAAGGTCTATTGATTTGCAGAATTGTTCGATATGTTTTAAAATATTTTCTCAGTTATTCCATTGGTGTGAACCTGGCAATAACTCCAGCAATAAGTAGTGCGCGCGCCCGAAAAAATCTATTGCTGGCCGTATTGCGGAGAAATACGTCCGCGAGCAATATTACCGATGATGCCAACAGATAGAGGACACTTTAACGGACACGACAGTATCAACATCATGTACCTGGAGGATAAAATAAGGGGGGTAAAACAACATCATGTACCTGGGGGATAAGTTTAGGGGGGTATAACCAGCAATAAGTAGTGCGCGCGCCCGATAAAATCTATTGCCGGCCGTATTGCGGAAAAATATTGCTGGCAACTTATTGCTGGTTTTACCCCCCTTAACTTATCCCCCAGGTACATGATATTAATACTGTCGTGTCCGTTAAAGTGTCCTCTATCTGTTGGCATCATCGGTAATATTGCTCGCGGACGTATTTTGCCGCAAAACGGCCAGCAATAAATTTTTTTGGCCGCGCGCACTACTTATGGCTGGAGTTATTGCCAGGTTCACACAAGTAGTTATTCCTCCGTTAGTTATAAGGTGATGATCTCAAGGGATTAACTTAGTACTGTGGTGTCATCGGCAAAAATAATACAGTCCATTCCTGTTGGCAGGTTTTCTGGAAAATTGTTCATAACTTATATATGATGAATAGGGGGGGGGGGGCCGAGGATGCTTCCTTGTGGAATTCCTTGGGTCATATCTTGAAGTTTAGATTTGGTTTTAAGTTCAATGTTGTTTTTTATGTGGCCTATTTCTACTTGTTGTTTTCTATTTGTGAGATAACTTTTGATCCATTTTTGAGCGTCCTGTTTTATAAGTGAATCTAATATTGTCTAATAGCCTATGTCTATTATTATTGTCAAACTGTTAGACTCTCAATGGCAAATAGGCATAGGCCTAATTGTTTTAATTGAAAATGATCAAATTGTTTGCAATTATGCCCACTGTAAATTAGACCTTAAAATACACACACCTGGGCCTGTGCCTCCTAAGATATTCTAGACTAAACCCTACCAATGGCTCAGAATAACTTAATAACCGGGTACAGTTTCTTAACTGGGCAATGCTAATATCAATTGAAACTATCGATTCGATTAGTATAAACCTTCATGCGATTTTTTTCACCCTCAGCAAGTTTGGTTGGTTAGGTTAGGTTAGGTTAAGATAGTTTAATTTGATAATAAATATATTTAAAAATATCGATTATTAATCAATATTTTCAATTCGATAGTTTCAATCGATATTAGCATAGCCCAGTTAAGAAACTGTACCCGAAAATTAAAATAGGTTACCTCTCACAAATTGCAGATAGCCTATTTCTTTGTTTTCAGTTTTCGAAACAGAAGCCACAAATGTACAAAAAACTTAGGCAAGAAGTAGATTCAGCGCATGTTCACAACAAAAACTGATGATTATAATACACAACTAACTGTCAGTCTATCTCTGTTGGTTGAATAGATAAAATGATAAAAATTCATTTAGGCTTAGGCCTAAGTTATTTTACGGCCCTTCCTTCTCCTTTCCTTGCTCTTTCTTTCAACTTTTTTTCAATGGTTGGTGTGGACTGGTGAGGAGGAGATGTGAAGACTGAAGAGAAGAGAAGCAGAAGACCACCAAAACAACAAACAAAAACAAACACTGTGGACTAACACCGAGGATTCTTACAGTCAAAAAGCAACTGAATTTTTGTTATCGCGTATCATTGAGTCAAAGCTCGTATCTTAGAATACGTATTCCATGTGTAACTAAATCAAGCCGATTACTTTACCACAAAATACTGTGGTACAATCAGGGTTGCCACCCGTCCCGATTCTACCGGGACAGTCCTGATTTTGGTTCCTTATGACCGTATATACGCCTATGTTAATTAGGGGGGAGGGGGGCAATGTCCCTATTTTTCCCTAACCTAAGGCCAGGGACAAACTTACCGGCGAAACCGCCGGATCCGGCGACGCCGGATCAAATTGAGATACACAGGAAGGCATGGGGCAGGCCACACTTCTCCGGTTCGGCGAATCTGCCGACCCGGTGGGAAAATGCTCCGACGAAACCGCCGGATATTCTCTACCTCGCCGGAACGCCGGATCGGCGGTAGTCTGTTTATCTGTATATCATCATGGTGGATGTTGATATGGATTTACTTATTAGTTTGGTTAATGAGAAACCAGAACTTTGTGATAGGTCTTTGGAAATTTACAAAGACAAAAACAAAACGATGGACAGCAACAGCTGTCGACAAATTTGTGCCGCACTGAATCCAGCCTTTCCAGCATCTCATGTATAGGTTTTGTCCTTGTATTTGCACTGTAATCTTCGATAGTAGCTCGTCGAATGAGGGGACAGACATTCAAAAATAATTTAAAAACTTATTCTCTTTATTTCTCAACTGTAAAAATAGAGTGTAAAAAGCTCCATGTAGCTGTCTGTTCTCCAGAATAGGATGCACCCAAACAGTTCGGTGGTGTTTTCTCTTCCTTCTGTGGTGGATCAAACACAGCAAGGCCAACTTTTGAGGTCTCGACAGCACCCTAAACCAGAAACAGAATCCTAAGTAAGACTAAACTGTACTAGAACTGTACTAGTCTATAGGGTAGCCGGAATTTTATACCCCTGAAATTTTACCCCCTGGGCAAAGCTGACGTCACTACGACGTTTCGACCTGAGTGGCCGAAAGTTTGTTCGCGGCCGGAATTTTGCCCCCGCGGATTTGGAAGTCTAATGAAAATAGCCAGAGCGTCATTAATTAGATTAGCGATAAAAACCAGAATTTTTACCCCTTGTCCATATAACTAGCGTTTAGACAGCCGTAGATGTACGGGCCGGATTTTTACCCCCGGATTTTTACCCCCGGAATTTTACCCCCAGATTTTTACCACCCGGAATTTTACCCCCAGATTTTTACCCCCGGATTTTTACCCCCCGGAATTTTACCCTCTGGCTGATTTTAGAAATCAAATAATTGATTTTCTTATTTCTGTTTTTAATTAATTGTAAACATTTCATTATTTAGTAGCCTATCTTTATTTATTTATTTTGTAAAGAAATGTTTGAAATTATCATTCAGTTGATTGTTTATACGTCATATCCATATTATAATGTTGGCTTCAAAGATCGAATCCTAATACTAGAATCTCAATATTAAAATTAAAAACTTGTTCGATTAGTTAATGTTACAAATAAATTAATATAGGCTACTTAATAATAAAATGTTAACTATTAATTAAAACAGAATGAAGATAATTAATCATTCTCACTAATTTATATATCTGGCCAGGGGGTAAAATTCCGGGGGTAAAAATCCGTGGGGTAAAATTCCGGGGGTAAAAAGCCGGGGGGTAAAATTCCGGGGGTAAAAATCTGGGCCGTACACTCTAGGTTTTTATAATTTGATTTTGTCTGATTAAATTCACAACCATGAAAATATATTTTTAATACCGCGCCCATCGAGCTGATGTCGCGAAACTCAAAAGTTCGCGACCGGAATTTTACCCCGTGGTTTGTGACGTCACGTTTGCCCATGGGGTAAAATTCCAGGGGGATAAAAATCCGCTACCCCCTAGTCTAAGACAAAACTGATTCAGAGTTCATTGCACTCTATTTATTGTCGCCGGCTCCGGCAAAATAGTTTTCGCCGGAACAAGTGTGTTCTGACGCTCAACCTCCAGTGGATCCGCCGGATCCGGAAGCCAACGGCGGAAATGCCATCTTGGATTTGCCCGCCATAAGAGCAATGTTAATTTCGTTATTTTTACTAAACAGCCACTGAAGAGTTATTTACCATCTCAAAATATGTTTTATAATACCAAAATGATTGTAATTTAAATATCTATAGTATACTGTGAGATTAAAATATTATTTGTATTTTTTAAATTGTTTTATGAGTTAGAACATCTAGGCTCCTAGGACTCTTAATTGGTCACCATGACATTATTTGCGAGATAACAATAAAAAGGTAAACAAGAGTCACAACGTATGTTAGTCAACGAATCCTCTAAAATAGCAAATTACAAATACCGTACCGAGAAAAGGGAAGAACAATCGGATTAATAGCATTGAGCATAATTTACTACCAAATGGATAACCATAGGGTCGCCGGAATTTGGCTGATGCACAATAATTGACTTTAAATACTCGAAATAGCCATCCCATTTATGTGAACCAAATGTCTACCATTGGGTTTAGATACTGCAAGTAGACTTTTCATTTACGTGAAATAGACGTACCATCAATGCAGACTATGAATAGGTAGCCTACTGCAAATAGGAAATTCATTAATGTGAACCAAAGATACTGTTGAGTTTCATGGTGGAAGGAAAATACATGGAGCAGTTTGGATACTGCAAGTAGGCATTCCATTGACGTGAACCAGGCGTTACCAATCACTTTGAATACTGCAAAAAATAGGCACTCCATTTATTTGAATCAAATGAACCATTGGCATAGGATACTGAAAGTAGACAATTCCGTACGTGAACCAAATTTACCATTGAGTTTGGATACTGAAAGTAAACTATTCGTTTATGTGAACCCGACGTATCATTGACTTTGAATACTGCAAATATGACATTGAATATTAAGTGAACAAGAAGTGAGCCAACCCTTGACTTTGGATACTGCAAAAATATGCATCTTATTTATGTGAACCAAACGGACCATTGTTTTTTGATACTGCAAGTAGATTTCTCATTTATGTGAAGCAGACGTACCATTGATTTAGTATACTGCAAGTAGGCAATTCATTCCACAATAATTTTTAGGTCTATTTTAGTTGCCATTGGCTCTATGGACTATTAATTAACAGCTATGTCTATGTCTAAGGAATATGTCGGCCTTAGTTACTAACAAAACTACAAGATCGCTCCACTCATCCTACACTCATCTCCATTCATACTTGGCTTAAAATACCTACATTCGTATTGGCTGAGACTTTGGGATGTCGCTCCTGGACTGGAACTGGAGTCGAGTAAGTCCTACCTGCCCAGCTGTTTCATTTGCATTTCCACTCAAATCAAATCCAGCTGTTTTAAAAATAAAAATTGCAATTGTGCATATTTTAACGCAAATGTGAGCAAAGAATTTTAAGTTTAGGCTACGGCAATACTTGTCTACTTTGTCACGGTGACAATGAATGAAAGTGCGTAACATTAAATTAAACGAACATTAAACAACAACATTAAATTCAATCTATATATTTATCTTTCTCATTTGTTATTGTTGTTAGTGGGTTTGTTGTTATTGTTTCATATTTTTTATTTATTGTTGTTGTTTTAAATTATTTATTATTAGTTTTAGTCCAGTCAATGAATGCTCAAAAGGGGGGTGTAGAGGACATGGAGAGGGGGAAATTTTTTTCTGCGGGAATGTGTTCGGGGTAGTTAGAAGATAAAAATACCAAAAGTCCCCGCCCCTGGCCTTGCTGCTTCAGCGGTGGGAGGGGGGGGGGAAAGACCCCATTTTTTAGTTTTTTACTTCTACTCTGAAAACCGTGCATCGTACGGAAAAAATGTAAATTATAAAAAGAAAGATGATAAAATTCTCTACAAGAATGGTCATATTCATTTCTTCCGTATATGCATTAGTTTAAAAGATATTCTCAAAATAATATAAAAATTCTAAAATAAATTGATTTTTCACGCGTTTTTTGTCAAAAAAAGTTTATATATCCATTAGCCTGTTGTTGTTTCACATCAATCAGGATGGAAAACAGGTTTTTGAACACTAACCTATATATAATATATCAATCGTATATATTGTGTTAAAAATAGTTTATATAAATTTAAATAAGTTATATATATTTGTCATGGAAACAAGTAATTTTGGCATAATTATTACATTAAAAATTAAAAAAAAGATTATGTTTGTAGCTATATTTGTCCAGGTTCATTTATAACAATTACCGAAACCAAGACTTAATATTATTATTATTATTTGTTCATGGTCTGGCTCACTTGGGACGAGAGGGTCCGACTTCTGTCCCAAAAACTGGTGCCATCTGGAACTGCAAACCACCATCTAGGACATCTCCATCATTCAATTCTTGTTGATTTATTGGCCATCAAAGTGAGAATTCGGTGTAGACCTTTATATTCTTCATCTTCCTCATTCATCAGAATGGTCATTTCATGTAAAAAGATCCCTTAGCAGTTCTGGCATAACGGAGAACACTTATTGGACATTTTCTTGCATGCACAAATTGCACATCTGGCACTGTTATAATCTTGAGTACATTTGCAAAAAACTTGGTTAAGGGATTAACTGTTCCTGGTTACTATAATTTTGGTGTCTCTGTTAAAATGAATATCTACTGACTGGTGGCGGTCCCTTGGGGGGGGGGGAGTTCTGATCAGAAACTATTTTTGTATATG